GGAAAGAAGGAGAGGGAGAAGTTAAAAAATTTTTTAAATGTTATTAAATGTTAACAAATTATACGAAAATTATGAAATTTAATTTTATGTGACATTGTTTTGCCATTAATATTATATGTGTTGATTTAATTACTACATTTAGAACAAATTTATTATACATTAGAAAAATTTTAAATAAATGACAGAGGTTTATTTAGCGTTAAATATAATAATGAATCTTTCAAGTCATGAGTCATTAAATATTGCGTTATACATCTAACATAAGATTAATAAATTAGCAATAAATTTGATGTTGATAAAATCGACTAACATGCGAATGAAGACGATATATATTTTTTTTACACATATAAAATAGGCTTGTTCCTTTTAACTAAATTTGCACATTTTATCCTTTTTTTTCTCTAATGTGAAGAGAAATAGAGAAAAGATGAACGTGCAAGAAGTTTAATTAAAAAGAATAAATTTCATATTTTTTTCTGTGTAGTGACAAATATGGTCGAAGAACAAAAGGAAAATCAAAATAAAAAATTTAACGATTTGAAGATTTTTTTGTAAAAAAATCTTACTTTGTAATATGTATCCATTTTAACAATAATCAGAGATCAGAAACTAAACTTTTAAAATTTGTACTGACAGTTGTCTTATTAGATTGCTATTAGATTGCTTTTGGGGAAATCGTCCTCGATACTGTGCATATGTTACTATCAAGAAAATATATTATTACTTTAAATTGAATTTTTTTCATTTAGTTCAATAAACTTTTGAATAATTTTGAATAATATACATAAACATCAAGTCTGTCAAGAATAAATAAAAGATGTTAACATATGAAGTTCTGCTGTGCATCTTTCAGTCTCATTTGCTTCTTTAATTCATTTAGCTGCAACTTTTATATGAAATAATTTTTTTTATCTATACTATAAAATCTGAGAGAATTTTCTTGAAAAAAATAGCACAGTTATTAATTCGAAGATTATTCGTGTCTCAATATTTTTGTACAGAAAGAATTGTTTCAGCTTTCCGTAAAAGATCACGTCGCGGAACACAAACTCTTCTGAACCATTGATCATCGTGCATAAAACGATGAATGGAAACGTTTTTTTATTTTAGATTAGCAAGATCATTGTGGCGGTAGATAACTCCGATCGACCTTCGGCTTCGGCGGTAGATACGTAGTACCTCCTGATCCATGGGGTTTAATATTGGATCCCGGAAATCCAATGCTGGGTCCTGAAGGTGTGATACGTGATCCCATCATACCACCTGATAAAGCAGCACGACCCAATCTGAATCCGGCTCGGTATCCATTCTCATCCGCAACATAACTTGTGAATGAAAAGATTACGTTTTTTATGTATGTCTTTTTGACTCAAAGATTAGAAAGGATTAGAAAAGATTCTTCAAACATTAGAAAGAAACATACGGTCTCATCTTTAAGTTTGTAATGAAAAGATTATTGAAACAGCATGAGACTATTTTATTATTTTCAATTTACATTGAATCATAATCTGAGAAAAAAAATCAAAAAATTTAAGTTGAAAAGTTTAAATCATATTTCCTCGAGAGAGATTGATCAGTTGATTACTCAAAGATTGTTCTTAATAATTTTGTTACTTAAACTGTAATCCATTTATTAAATTAATATAATATTATATATTAATATATAATATTAAATTAATATAATATTATATATTAAATTTGCAATTTTGTTTGCAAAATTGTCTATTGTTTAATTTTTTTCAATGGAATAGTAGAAATTTCGAAAACTTTGATTGATTTTATATTGAAATTCAGCAAATTGAAAAATATTTAGATATAAAGTCTTGTTTTAATAATAAAATGCAAAATTAGTTCTTGAGAGCACGATTAAACATTCGAAAAATTAACTTTTGAAAGAAGTGGCAAAAAAATAACAAAGGATCTTTAAAAAGATATAAAAGGAAAAATATACTTGAAAGATTATAGATCGAAAAAAATGACAAAAGAATAATGATCAAAAGATCGATCGAGATTACTTTTGAAAAGAAGTGATACAATTATATGGTAAAACTATTGTTTCTAAGATATATAAGACATGTTTCTCACTTAACAGAAACCGGAATCCCCTCGGGACTCGTATAGGAATAGGATCCTTCTACCACACGGACTAGTTCGCCGTCCACGAGTTTAAAAGTGGCGATCTCCTGCCTCTGGATGTTACCCTCACTAACGGTATTCGTGGATAACGCTGGACCCGTTGTTCTCTGAGCAGCCTCAAAAGGCGGTTTCAAGATCAGGCCGCCGGAGCCGCGCGCAAACTGCGGTGCTTTTTGATCCAGGGACAACCTTTCGGCGAAGGATACCGGGAATGACAGCAAACACCAAATCTAAGAGAGTTTTATACGTGTCTTTTATACATGGATGTTTTTAATACGATACATGTGGTATGTATTTTTTCTTGAAAAATACAGATAAAAGTAGAGATAAAAATAGAGATAAAAACATCATTTTACCATACTAGTGAGCTCAACTTATAATAATTAATTTATTGTTATCAAACTTTTTTAATATCTTCAAAAATAAATAAAATGTTCAAAATTGTAACTTTTTATTAAAAATTACGAACACACAATAAAAGTTGCAAATAGAATTAGCTTTTATAAGATATAATTAAAACGCAGAAAGAGTTTAGTTAATATAAATGATTAATGTAGTCAATTATAGGAGAAAAATAATATAACAAAATTCAAATATATTGATAAAAAAATAAACAAAAATTAAACAATTTTGCCTTTTGATTTTGCATTTTATATCTTTCCTTTTAATTGTGCTGTTTTCTGAAACTTGATTTCTGTAACTGGTATAATATACCGTACTGGTATAATAATTCGAAAAGTTGTACAATCCTTGAAAAAATTAAGTTAATAAAATTGTGCGCGCACGCGCAGGTGTGTTGCAACTTCTTTTTTAAGAAAATTCTCGATTTTATAAATTAGAAGATTAATTATATATCTTTTCCCGCCTTTTTAAACTATTCAAGAGGATTAATGGAACCGTAACTATTTATGAATAATATGGCCGAGGATGACCCCGCGACCCCGCGTCCCGTCGCGTTGGATAATCATCGAGGATCGCCGCTCGTGTGCACATATATGACGTTGGAGGTGGATCCCTTGGAAAAGGATACTTTCTAGTTAATCGATGACCAGCCAGCCGGGCCCGCGTTTTGAACGCTTCGGGGCCCGATAACCGGCCCCGAGTTTGCGAAGACGCAATCTCACGGGGCCTCGTCGTCTAACAGGCGCGGTGAGAATCTCGCGAATCGCGTCGAACAAGAATGAACTTTCAACCCCTGACGCTATGCGGTATATTACGTCGGAGAGACAGTTGGCGCTTAGCGACTTATCTTTCATCTGCGAGAGAAACACCAGAACTGGCACCTAAAAGGATCGAGCTGTTAGTTACAAGGCGTTATTAATCAGTCCTGAATATGAGAGAAATGTAGATGTACGAAAGTAAAATGTGTAATGGAAAGATCGGCGAAAAGAATCCATCGTTTGTTGCGTAAAGATTAATAGAAACGATTATTCGACGTTAGCAATATTATGGACAGCTGTCAGATTGATTAGCAATTGGCACGCATATTATAGCATATTTATTAAAATTGACGTACCTAATTATTTACGTGGGGCTTAAATCAGGAAAGCGCAGAAATTGCCACTTGAAATTGACATGATAATTAACGTACTTATTATTGACGTGGAAAGATTTAACTAACTCACGCGTTAAGTTTGGCTCAAAAAAGATAAGTTTCGCTCGATAAAGCCTTGTTAACACTCGGATGCATTTTGATAGCTAAAATGAATCTGCAGGTTCAATCGGTTAAATTGTGCGGTTGATATCGATTTACTTTATCTTGTATATATTAAATTATGTTGTATGTTTACGTAATGATTCAGTTAGCGAGTTATCCGCGAAAGTACTCCTTTTATCCGCAAAAGTATTACAACATAATGCACGCTGAAACGTAATGTGGCTTGCGATATACGCTTGAAATTTACGAGTGATTTGCGTTATTCTCATGGACGGCGAAAGACATCTTTCACGAAAGTTGTCAATAGCGCGCTTCGCGCGTTCTCCAATGTGGAGAGACCTTCGTCGAGAAATTAATTACGACGCGGTGACACGTTCTTTTGTTTTTCTTGCTCTAATACATTTCATTGAACTCATCGAAATTTATGAATTAAATTTGATACACAAACATTTGATGCCTTTTTTTGTTTATAATGAAATAAACAAATTAGACGTTTATATCTTACAAGTGAAATTATAAATTAAGAGATTAACAATAATTAAAGTCATGAAAGTCATCGTAATTAAAATAATTAAAAAATTATAAATTATATTTAATTATAAAAATTATAAAATTATTATCATTTTTGTATTATTAATATAAGTAACTTTGTTAAGAAAATAATTTTTTGAACGATGGTACATCTGATCATTTGAAAAATCTATAAATTTGTCTAGTTCTAGTTTATTTGTTACGTTAAATGTAAGCCCAAAGAAAATAAATTTACAAATCATGTAAATTCAACCCTGATTCAGTTTTTTCTCACGCGCTTTAGAGTCCCTTGCATGATGTGAGAAATTTCTTTCCGCAAAACGTACCAGCGAGCGTATGATCCCGCGATGACTCATCACTGTCATCATTTATGATGACAACGATAATGGAAATATGATAGCGAAGACAATGATAATAAAGACACTTTGCACTGCATCACCCGACGCGCGGCTCGGCAGCGCTTTGATCACGGGCACCCTACGGGCGTTATATCGGGACTGTCGAATCCTATCAGCGGGTCTATGCTCCTGCGAACCCCTTCTTATACCCTGGTGAACGACGATGGATTAGGCGCTTTTCCCCCCTCTGATCATCATCGCGAAGAGGCGATCGTAGGAACGAGCAATTACCGTACCGTTTTGTTTTTCACTTGCAATGCGAATAATCGCTTGTATATTTTATACAACGCATACAATTGTTCACATGATTAAGTAGTTTGGGGGGAGGGGGTGGAGAGGAATCTTTGATTGTCGGTTTTTAGAACAATATTCCGTAGTTTTATTATATATATAGTGCCCCCCCCCCTCCCCTTCCCCCCTCCCGATTTTCCGTCTCAACAGTATGTTTTATAAGCTGAAATAAGAAAATAATGTCATATAAAAACATAAATGCTTTATTAATAAATTGTAACTATATAAATATGAAATCTGCAAGACAGTCAGTTTTTCATTATAAATTTACATTTCAAAATACTATCCGCCCAACGTCAATACAAGCGTGGTGTGTCACTTGATGTTTATTTTATGCCGCATCGTTTCGAATAGAATAAATACTTTTCCTCGTTGAGAATATTAATGGACTGACTACATTTACTTAAGAAGCAGCGTTTTCAATAATTTTCAGTAATAATCATGCGTAATTATATGTAACTATATGCTATTTGAGAAAATTTTTTAACGTTAATTCAATTGTAATGTATAGATGGGCATATATAAACTTGGATGAAGGATTGTTTTTTGTAGATTTCATAGTTTTAGAAAAATTGATTTGATTAGAATTCTACCATAGAAACAGACAGACAGTTTAAATATCCAATATAATAATTCTTTTAACAAAACAAAATCAATATTATAATTCTGATAAAATTATTATGACGTATTTATTTTATTAATAAAGGAAGGAAAGAGCGCTTCTAAATCTTGTTGTTTCTATTATCGCTATTGTTTCTATTAATATATTTACGATTCTGACTTTCACTCTCTCTCTCTCT